GCCTGTATCATGTTTGCCCAACTTTGATTCATGGCTGCGCCGGCCTGTAATAAAAAGAGGTTTTGAGCGATACTATATCATTTCGAAGTATACAGCTAGTATAACATCTACAATTAAATAACTTTCATAGTTATACTTTGTTTCAATGAATAGCAGAAGTTAATGTAAGAATTGTAGTTTCTCCTTTCAATTGGTAAATGAAGTGATTCAAACTTACATTTTAAGGCCTTAGTTGTCGTACATGTTCCCTCAAAACCATTTCCCGCATAGATATTTAGTCTTCCACGCCTAGTTTTCCACGGTAAAGCCAAGAACCCACGCTGCTGGCCTGTGGTGCTGGGCCGTTCGGAGAGGAGCCCACTCCGGATGCATGCAAGGAAGGTGCGGGGGCTGGTTGAACAAAGTGGACTTAAAGCAAGGTGTTTGTATGAGAAGAAGACTGTTGGTATTACGCTTGACCGCTTTTCCTATTTTCCGCGACTCGACAGGGCTATAACGTTTATGCAGCGTGGTGAGGCCACGAACAGTTTTGGTATTGCGAAACACCGTACCATTCAGCGTTGACTGGGAGGCTCTCTGTATGTTACTACTGGCTCCCATGTCTCCCATGACCTCCGGACACCGGACTAAGGAATTCCGTTGGTCATATAAAAATGGCCAAGGGAAGGGAAGGCGCGCCCGTCACGATCCTCATATTGAGCAACCGACAGCCACATGCCGGCCGCTCGGGGTTTCACTATCAGGGGGAAAGGTTGCACGCGTAGGTCAACCTCCTGCGCCCTGGCCTCTGACGGCGGAGAACAGCACCCCACGCCCTCTCGCTGTCAACCATAGCAAGAACCACGTCTGGCAGCGAGAGGTCGTGCTCCACGATAGCACACAGGCGCTGCTCCATCCAGGTTGGGCACGCCTCTAGGGCAGTGTTGGGCCGTCTCCTCGGCACATACGTCACACACGGCTCTTAGACTGACACTGGAGTGCTTCAGCCACTGCTCCCACTCCCGGATGACGATTATGTGCAGGCGATCCCTGCGCTCCCGCACCTCCTCTGGGGTCAGCGAATGGCCTTCGGATTTTGCTTCCTCACGCCAGTAAAACCTTCACTTCTAAATCTCAAGGCAGGAAGCCGGCCAACAGACAGGCCGCCTCACTGGAGATCGTCCGGTAGCACTGTATGATCCGGATAACCAACACCCTCTGCTGTTTGCGTTAAAGCGCTTGACTCCGGTGTTTCACACGGGAGCTCCGTACAGGGCCATAGACCGCACGACCCCCGCGTATAGGTCGCGGCAGGACCAACGTTTGGGAGCAGCCTACCGAGAGCTGCCGCTGTTTTCGCCACTTTGTGAGCCAAATGCTCGAAGTGGACCTGGAAATTCCATCGGCGATCTAAAACTAGGCTGAGGTACCGCATCGTAGGTGTTACGTCGACACTAACTCCACAAACAATAAGCTAACCTTGCCAGCGCTGGCCGCCTCAGCAGCCACTTCTCGGGGAGCAACTTCTCACTCCTCCCGGCATGCTGAAACATTCAGCGCCTACTCGGGCCCTTTTTCATGGCCAACGAACTCTCCCTAGCCGACCAGAGGACATGGGAGCCAGCAGAGCCAATGCTAATAAGCAGCAAGCCTCAAGTAGACTCTCAGGTTGGCAGAACGCTGCATCACAATATGGACACTCCTCTCTACCCGCAGTGCCACGACTGCATCAGCGGTACAGCTCTGCTGAATCGCGGAGGATAGGGAGAGCAGCCAAACGCAATTGAATTCAATTATAAATCTCATATTACTCCACTGCGCGTCCAGTTTTTGTTTTCATTTTATGGTAAAAGCCCTTCGGCATTATTTATTATTTTTACGCACATTTTCACTCGATTATTAACGACTTTTTAAGCGAGAGCTTTTTAGGTGAGAGACAATTTTACAAAAAGTTCACGGTGAATTTCGTAAGTTTCTTTACTTTAGTCGGGCGGCAACAACAAGTATTAATCTAGAAATATAAAAACCTATGGGACGCGATTATTTTGGTCAGATTACTCAGCGTTTTAACTAAAATATCTTAATGAATATGAAATTTGTTACAGCAATAAGCTACCTCATTTGAGGGGTGAAATATGAACATATTTGGTAAAACAGCGCTCATCAAATGCCGTCGCGCTAAGCAAGCTCAATAAACTGTCGCAAGAATAAACGAGGCTTTGGTGGAGAAGCTTAGTGTCAAATATCGAACAGCCTGCTTAAAGAATCTTTTCACCCGAAATATATATACCTTTATTTACCTTTCCTATATTTAACGCACGAGGTAGAAAAGTGTATTTGCTAGTAAAGATTCGTTATACAAGTAGATTTATAGCATGCACTTACATTAAATAACCTTCTTAAAAAACAATACTGGCATCAACATATCGAAAAATTTAAGTTTTATAACTGTTATTAGATAGATTTAAAATAATATTGGTTTATATTTTTGTTTATATAAATGTCATAAATTCTATTTTTAGCACATATCTATATACTTCTTTGATCCAGATAGATTAATATATCGGCTGGGTCAGGTTTTGTTTGGAGTTGTACTGAGCTATTTTATTGCAATATATTTATAATTATGACTTTTTGAAAACCTTACTATTTACTCATTCGTTGGAACCATCGTGTGAAACAGTGGATCCAGTCTTCACGAGGGAACTTTTCAATAGCTTCTTGGAATAGCTTCAGTATTCTATTTTTTACGAGTGATAACGAAATGAAATGTCCTGTTTATCGAAAGAAGAAGCCGTCATTTTATTTACCTTTCTCAACTTTAGTCAGCACGTGTTCAAAACAAAAACCCCGTTCTTTAGTCACCTGTGATAATGCTATAGATGGCTATATAATAATTGTCAATTTAAATTGACATTTTGTATCATTTTACGACACCAGTCGACTTGTTGTTTCTAGTATCCTGTTAGATCTTGCGGCTTGCTTAGATCCATCGAATGTAAATCCTCGAAATTTCAGGTGAACGTTTAAAATGTTTTGCACTATAATTCTCACAAATACAGTATGAATTTGGTAACAAGCAATTTTCGTACGGTGTCAAAATTGAATTCTGCAACTGCAGTCATCGGGTGACCATGTATATTATTATAGAATTTAACAATTGAAGTTTCTGTCAAATTTCTTGTTGATTTAAGCTACAGAGAAATCCAGAAAAAAATCATTGAAAAATCATTTCTCTCCGCGATTACACGATCCAAACATACCTATATTCATAAACCTAATTAAAAACGTACCTATGTTTGCCACCTTACCGGGATGAGAAAGTAATCAAAAAATTAAAAATAAGCTGTTCTCCGTTTAAACAAAAATAAATAAAATGTACGCAGATTTTCTTCTTTATATTTTTTTAGCTAAATAATTTTTAACTTTTTAGTTTAAAATAAGGCTTTTATTGGTTAAATTAAATAAAGTGCTCACAAAAAATCAAGACTCAACGTTAAACCAATAACATAAACACAAATAATGACCATTTAACGAACATTATTATATTTAGGTATATGGCAAACTATGAAACTGAATTGAAATGTCAAAAGATAACTCCTTCGTTATTGTTGGCTTTTATACCGAAAGGATGGCGGTCTAACTGTTGATGAATTGTCTTGATGTAAAAGTCGGACAAACTTCAACCATAATAATAAATTCGCTATTGCTGAAGGAAAATGGCGGCATAACTATTGACGAATAGTCTATACGTAGAAATCCAAAGACGTTAAACTATAATCATAATAAATTCGCTATTGTTTGACTTGAGCTAGCGTCAGTGACTATTTTTGCTGTTTATTTGCATTATAACTGAGCACATATTGTGTTCTTCCTTCTTATGTGCATGCGCTTCGCATATAAAATGTGTTGACGATAATTGTTTCTACATACGATTAGCGTAATTCTCTGACTATGAAATCTCGTCTCGTTGACTAATTTCTGCAGGTGACACGAAAGTCACTCTGCAAAGATCAATAATTGGAATACAAAGAGTGATATATGATTTCATCGTATTAATTGTGGCATTGCTGCCCAGCACACCAACGTTGGTATGATGTTGCCATAATGCATGATGCCGATCTAATACCATCTGCATCGTTTTAGTTAGCATTAGTTTTTTACATTTTCATTGAATATGATGATGTAGATGAGAAATAAATAACTTGAAATAAAATTTGTGATTACTTTTAGTTATAAGCAACAAGTAATTATTTATATGTTATCATGGAAAAATAAAAATAGCAACTGTATTTTTTTTTTCAAACATTGTTGTATTATTTGCTTAAAGAAATCTTAGAAATGTTTAAATTACTTTAAGAGTATACTGCATATGGGACCCAATATTCTATCTTCATATCTTTTACTTATCAAGGAATGACATCCTTTTGTTCTAATAAAATCGAATCGTAATATCAATTTAGATATCATCATATACAGAGCTAAAGCAAACTATAATTACGACACGGGTTTCGTCGTCCGCTTAGCGGATACGGCGTGCGGTTTTAATAAGAGCTAAAAATAAACAGGTATCAGTGTAATATTTATAATGAATCGTGAGCCGGCGTCGAGCGGAATCTTCACAGCATCTCACGGGCTCTTAATGCATGATTACTCGATCCTCCCACCGAGTCCGAAGCTTCCATTGGCTCCCTACTATCCGACGCCGCCTCCGCCACTGAACACCGTCTACTTCAAAACAACTCCATCCGCGCAATAAACAAGTCTTGGTGTCCATTGTCTCCGCACCATTATACCGACACGCCGGCATGTTGAATACCCGTCATCGATCTGTTAGAAATGACCTCGGGAAAAAATTTCACTGGCTGATCGCGAACTATTTCGATCGTTGAGCGATTGAACCTAGTGATTCCCTGGCTTATTGATCTTTTAGATCCAGCGGTATACAATGTATGAGATTATGACATCCGCTCGCGCGACATTTCGTGACAATCTTTTTGGAGAGCAAACGGTTGTTGTTAGGGAAGCGGGTGCAGGGCTTGTGGCGTCGGAGGCTCGTTATAACTGACAATGGTTGCAGGAAGGTTGCTCGGCCGGTCGGAGGCGCGAGCGTGAAACGAGGCGCCGGCGACGGGGCGGCAGGGGGAGGCAGGGGAGGGGTGATCGCAGCGCCTCGGCGGGAATAAAACCACCGCACATGGCTAACGCCCGCGCATCCCCAATAGCAAAAAGTCAAAGACGGAACGGAGCGACAACCGCAGAGGTTCGCCTCCGCGCTGAATCGGATAAAATCGACATAGAATTAAAGGGAAATACAAAAATCACTCATTGTTCTCATGAAATGAATGTGCCGTTGAGTTGAATGTGAGAGGCTTTTTGTGGAAATATTCTCATACTTTTAAATGGGGCCCTCGTGTGGCGCCTCCTAATGATTGGTCGTTTTTGCGTCGGCGCGCGCGCGGCTCTAGCCGTCCAGTGCGTTCGCGCATGTCGCCGCACCGGCCTTTTTCTACAGGCCGTTTCGGATGTAAATCGGACCGCGGTTTGGGCGGCATTGTTCCGAGTCCACGAATGGGGACACTTTCATTAGCCACTCCACTGTTTTTCGGTCTTAACGCCGATTTATTTAAGGCGGGCAGTTCAAAGCGCTTTTGTTGTTAGTTGTTTTCATACAGAACCCTATTCGTCAACAAAGTAAATGCTAAGATAAGACCATCATCATATATATTATAAAATAATATTGCCTTATCAAAAATACTTACAATAATTACATTTAAGGGTATGTTTTAAAGCGACTTTAAAGCAATCATAGTGAATTTTAACAACTTCTAATTCAATTACTTTATAGTTTATATTAAGTCAAAATACGTATATGAAACATCTTGCATATTTCATCTGCAAAACTAAAATGGTATGCCAATTCGAAATATTAATGTGGATAGGGTTGCTACGAGATTTCTTTTTTGTATTTTTGTTTCCAGTTCCTTGTTTTGTTATTTCCAAACTTTTAAAAATCTTAACGGACGATTAACTTTATCAATCACTCTAATAGGTTTTGACTTTCTCCTACAGCGCATAAGCTTATATACGTCGAAGTAAAGATTATAAAACATTTTGAAGTTGCAATACAAAAACCGTTCTATTCTTTGATGCTAAATGGTATGCAACAGTTTGTTAGGTACTTTATTGTATGTTTCACTCTGTTCACAGATATGCTTTACTGAACTGTGGAAATGCAAACCTAACATTTAAGATTAACTTAACTACCCATCATCAATAAAACGATCGTTTGATAATATTTAGAGAAAACCATCTCAAAGTAGAATAACTATGCTTCATAAAATATTTAAGAAATGATAATTGGTAATATAAAGCATCTCAAATAAAAAAAAATATTGAGGCATTTTAATATAAAAAAGACGGAATTCGGATTCCACCCTATGGGTTTTGCACGTTGACAGCCCTGTGCCGAATGCGAATAGCGACATCAAATCAAATAGGTGTCGCGGTCGCGAACTCTCGCTTCACTATTTATTCTGAGTGCATAAACGTTCATTTGTTAGTGCTCGGCGATGGCGGCGTGTTGTCTAAAGTCCGGAATAAATAATAAAGGCAGAGGGGACTCGCGAGTCGTGACACCTACTCTTTCACTAATGGAGCGGCGAGGCGAGGTTTGTACCGCGCTGTAATCAAGATCCTGTTCGTTTTCACCCTTTTGCTGGACGGACGGGCGCATCTCTCATTTATGGGTGTCACCGCCTCGCCTCCTTGGCGATGCTGGCGAGCGCTCCAACTTTGCTCCCACAGCGACACCGTAGCACTAGTTCTTTGACGGAGTACAAAGAAGTCTCCTGCACGGTTAGTGCGCTACGGATCGCGAATGAGCAGACCCAGGTGCTATCAAGAAAACTTCCAACCAATAGATTTTCGATTGTATACCTAATTCTACTTCTTAATCAACTATTTCGAAGCCAAGAAAGCTACACTAATAAACCGTCAAAAGTAGTTATTAAGACGAAAACCGACCTGAATACGACTGCCGGAAGCACTTTAACTGTGTTACAGCTTTAATATTAAGCTGTCAACACACTTATATTCAGTTAGAGTACAATTGGAAGTTTATTTAACTGATAATTCATTAAGTTGTCTTTAACAAATGAATAGCAACTGAACTAATTATGGAAGTGGAATAGGGAATGTAAAAATAGAAGTATGCTGGAATTTTCTCAGTTACATTATTTCAAGCAAGATCAAAAAAGTTTATTTGAACATTGTGAAAGAAATTAAGTTCATAAAAATATTGAATCAGTCTTTTACATTACTTAACATAGTGCGAAATACGCCTATTAGACATAGTAAGATTAAGTCCTTATATTTTAAATGTATCTATTTAATGGTGTACTTTTTTGGGGTTTTTGTTTCTGTGTAAAAGCAAAGCTCTAAAAATATTGATCCTAAAAATGATTGTAAACGGTTATGAATACGGATGCAGATTTGATTCATTTCAAAACATAATAATGTCAATTATGTAAGTCGAGCTAAAACATTAATTTGTGTACCTAACAAGGCGGGGGCTTAAAAGTTCGATATCGAATCTCCATCGCCATGGATAAGTTTTTTTGAATATACCATGCCTAAATCGATTAATAATGTTTAATGCCCTGACGCATCCAAAACAAAAAGCGGCTGGACAGCACGGATGCACAATTAGAATAAATCGAACACGGAATTAGATACCCGAATTGTTTCTTATAGGAAGTGGCCCTTGTGTTGTTATCTTTGTTCATTTTTGTTTCCATTATTTCGTGGGCCACACAGGGCAGGTTGGAACATGGTTTTATCTTAAACTGACGGAGTTAATCTTAAAGCGGTGCTTTCTCGTTTGTTGTTCGATGCATGCGCCTGTTGGAGGTGGGAGATAGTGCACTCGGAAGGATGTTGCTCAAGTCGAGATTAGCTGGTCTCACTGTAGAAATGAAACTTGTTCTCGCTTACTGGATCGCCAGAATGGATTACTATTACTGTAGTAGCTTCGTAACGTTTCTGTCGCATGAAATATATACTATGAATTTTATAATTGATAATAATCAAAAAGGTACTAGAACAATTTAAAAATCAGAACAGAGGATTAATAATAATAACATAGAACAACAGCATTTACTCAAATCAAACTATTCGCAGAATAACGATTTTGTTAAAGACTAAAGCAATTGTTTACAACCTTACTAAACGTTTTATACGGTTAAAAATATTAATTTTTGATCGATAGAGGAAAATGTAACTATTAAAATAATTTACAAATTACAGTAAAAAAAAGAATTATATCCAAAACCAATTACAAAGTTTGAAAATTCTTTCTGTTTTGAGGATTTCAATTAATTTAGGTTTAGTTTTTTTTTTTCATAGAGTAGGTCATAGTTTACTTAAAACCGATTGTTTAGGTTCGCTAGTTGTGGATTTTCATTCGTTCAGCCCGCGAAGTGAGACCACAACATCACCAGAGCCTGTCATAATTAGGACAAATAAGTTTCAACATTTATTTATCTCAAATCACCTAAAGAATCTGACCAATTAGGTGGGATTCTTGAGGTGCGCATTATTATATATAAGAGGGCCCCGCGACGCAGAGCAATGTCATCAAAGTCTTTGTCGACTGAATTAACTTTACTAAATATTTACGAAAATGACTTAGTCAGAAGTTAGGCAATCACTTTAAAAATTACAAGTGATTGGGATCCTCGATGTATTAATGTACACCCAAGGAACCTAAACAACCAGTCGGATGTAAATGAATGTTAAACCATATTTATCTTAGTTTCACAATTATAAACTTTAATCGGAACTATAAAAATAAATCCTTATACATTTTTAAATCGATAAAAATGTTGTAATCAACATTTCAAACTTAAAAGGAAAAATATTTTATTCAGTGACTGCAGCATTTCAATTTGGCGTAGCTAGTTGTCAATGAATCGTTTTTGTATTGACGCTTATGTTCAAGATTAGATCTAAATATTAGAAATCGTTACTTCTTTTATAATATCATAAGCGCGAATTTGCATGTATGGATGCTTGTTACTCTTTCAAGTTAAAACAACCGAATGGATTTTAATAAAACTTTACAATGATATAGCTTATACATCAGAATAACACATAGTCTATAATTCATAAAGATATTATGTGTATTGGATAAGCGTTAAGTGAGTTAGAACAATATCTGCCAACTGCAAGCTATATAATAAAAACTCACTGTTAAATCACTTTGGGCGCGCGTGCGGAGCCGCGGTTAACAGTTAGTTGTAAATAATGCGTGGTCTTGATGTAGAATTGTTTTTTTGTAATGTTAGGACACAGAGTCCTAAACACATTAAAAAAGTAAATTTTAAACTTCAAATGTTAGCGTAAGATTAATTTTATACGCTTAGTTACAACAAAATTATTTAGTACGATATTTAATGATTAATTTTTTTTCCTCGAAACCTATTCGTGTTCATCTGTTTTCATTACATTTATATATAAGATACATTTTTAGAATAATTGCGCAAATTCATACTTTATTTTAAATCAGTCATTAAAATTTATATTGACTAAGTGTTATTAAATCATATTACGTAATATTAAAAATAAATTAAAAAGAAAAGCTCACAACTGATAAAGATTACTCGAATACTTCACATTTAAATAGAAAGTCTTTATTAATTTTAAAGCTCTTATTACACAGATCGTATAGAATCAACATTGAGGTAAAACGTTCCTCCCGTTATAATGAAGGATCATCAGCAAAATAAATCTTAATTGAACGCTACAAAACCTATGAGGTTTTAATAAAATAGCAAGAATCAATAAACTAAACAGTTCTTCAGGAATTCGTCAACAATTCATATAAAACTCCGAACCAGAACGCACAAATCGCAAAACTTTCGTTTAATAGACATTTTCGTAATACGGACGACGTGATAATTTACATTTCTGTTCGTAACTACCCTATTTTCCACTGACATTATGTTCGGGTAGTAGTATCGCGTGACAAGAAAATGTAATTCAACGCTAAGCTTTGACTTGTTTCCCTAATTTCGTTTTACTGTTTTTTCGACCTCACTTTTCACGTAAATAGTCGCTATTGATTTATCGTGTAGTCGCTCGTCGGTTTACAGTTTTGGACGGCGGAATGTCGACCGACTCCTTTTCGTACAGTCATTTGCATATTTACTTCTTTTGTCTAGCTGCAGTGCGGTAGCGATGATTTTATTAACAAAGGCGCGCGTTCTTTTCATATAATTAACCGAGAAATGTAAATAGGCTCAGATAAGAGATGGCAGGCTTAAAAGCGTTAGCCACGGACGGCGTCTAATTTGAGCCTATATATGTCTAATTAAGCTGATAACGATCAAAATATATTATATCAATTTTTTGGAAGCAAGATAGAGCTTTTCTACGGTCCAGATCTCTCTTATCCGTACAAAAAATATAACTGAAGCTGAAGTGGCTGGTCTTTCTAGAGGAACAGCAGAGGTGGACTCTACAATGGAGTAACAACAAAGTTACACAAACTGTTGAACACAAACCTCCCACGAACCAAACTTGGAATAATGTGTACGCTTTTATATGGAGATTAATTTATTACCATTATTTATAAGCGATATTTTAAGCAGTAAGGTGCAGGGTAGAATTTATTAATAAAAATTATCCATTTGTTTCAGGAGGGAAAATTGGTCACCTTAATTTTTTTTTGGTCGACTCGTTGATTTATATTGTTCTCGATAAGACCTGCTACATATTACGTCTCTCGTTGAAGATCCGTTAGTTTAACCTACCCTTAAAAATTAAGTCAGTACAAAGCTTTTTCATTATGTATGGAATAACTTCCTTAGGAATTGATGATTATACTATGCATTATCATAATCAAGAAACGTATTTTAAGAAAGATGAACTCTCAATGTCGTGCCAGAGGTAAACTCAAAAAAAACAATGATGTCTATTGTATAGGAACCCCCATTGAAATATTTTTATTCCGTTTTTTAATTTTTGTTTTTTTTTTTGTTATAGCGGCAACAGAAATAGGTCATCTGTGAAAATGTCAACTATCTATCAAGGTTCATGACACGGACAGACAGACTGACACGGACAGACAGACAGACGGACCTTTCGGTACGGAACCCTAAAAATGGAGCCATACGGATGTCAAATGATAGAAAGTTTATCGGTTATATACGATTTCGGCAAGGGTGACATCGAGGCGCTACTCAAGAGTTATCTGGACACCTCCGACGGCAGCGAAACAATGCGAGACGATTAAAAAACGCGGTCTCGGGAATGTGCACGAATACCCCCACGTACAAGGCCATTATAACGTCGAAGACTCGCCGAAAGCGGCTGTTAAATATCTTACAGTTGCCATTTTATTACCGCCAACTCGCTATAGTATGTGACGAAAAAATCTCTACAAAAAATAGGCGCCATCAAGGAGGCCCTCGGCGGCGTAGTTCGGGTACTACTGCCTAACGGCAGTCGGGTATCTCCAAAAAGTGTTTTCACCCTTTGCGATAGGGTCCTAATCTAACCGCCTATCGGACCTGCAACGCACGGCAGTCAGACGGTTATATTATGGTATAGAGTATTTTTTATGCGCACCTTTTGTAGGTTCGGGGTTTGTGTTAAAATACACACCTAAGTATCATTAGCTATAAACACACTTCTTTGTGTCTGCCATTGGATGAAATAAGGGCAATAAAGTGTGAAGATTGAGGAACATAGCAGAAGTATGGAGCGGGCTCTTGTGTTTAAAGATAGCGCTGAAGTGTCTTTGACGAAAGCGCCTGACACTTTATAAGGCGTAACCTTTGTTCAATGAATACGTGTTACCCATTCCGTAAGTCGAGTGATATGGTGGTTAAGAGTTTACCAATTAATTGTAAAAAGTAAATTAAAGAAAGCATTGTGAATAATGTGTAAAGTCTAGGATGATGGTAAGAATGTCTAGCTAGACAGGCCGTAGTATCAAATATCAGCTGATGGGCTACATGAGACTACGGCCTGCTGCTAAAGGACTCATTTAGGGTATCCTTAGGAAAACATTAACAACTAGATTAATCTTCCACCTACATCTCGCGGACCGACGAATCTAATTTCATTTTAATACATACATTCAATAATAGTTCTATTTTAACATAATATTGCCAACACACTAGTAAACGGACGAACTTTGAAATTATGGTAATCGTGAAATGTGCGACAATGTTTAAATTTATTTGGCAAATAAAAAATATTCCGTTCGTTTAATGAAAATATGTGACCTAAAGTTATTGTAACTTTTCATTATAAAAATAATTTCAGAATTTCGATAACAAATGGAATAACAAATAGGGAGGAAATAGATATAGAGTTAAATAAAATTAAATTATTAAAAAGATAAGTAATAATAACCACAGCATTCATTATGCATAAAAATTATCAGATAACTGATGATTATAGTGACAAAATTGTCACTATAATAATGATGGGCGGATCCAATTAACGTGCATCAGAAAAGATGTGGATACTTCCAGAACAAACGCTGGATCACTTCTGTTCAGTTTTGGTTTCAATGAAAGTGATAGAAATTTCTATCGAACAAAGCTACCTTTTAAAATGTAGCCGATTCTATATCATATTGACCTATGGATCCTTTGAGCGGAGGCTGTGTCTGCGCAATGTGCCCCCCTTACCCCTCTGCCTCCCGTGGCGCATCGCACCTCCGCCGGCGTTCGCCTGGCGCCTTATTATGTTACCTTTGTTTTCAAATTTAATTGGCCCCCGCAGATAACTTATCTTGATAACAAACGACGACCAATAAACCAGAGGCCCGGTACAAGTGACCGTTCCCCGAGATAAGATTGTGGAAACTGGATGACGTTTGATACTAGAGCAATACATTCGGTTTCAGATAGCGCGCTATGAAGTAAGCCGTGAATTCAATGTTATGCCACTTTCGGATCTAAAGACGCAAAGATTTGTAGAAATAAAGCATGTTCGAAAGAAACTGCCGACTCCACAAACCCGCAAAAAACTTATGTCAAAAACCACATCTTCATGCGTACAGTTTTGGGGGTCAGAGCTAACTAAGTAAAAATAAATAAGACGAAGGAAAAAGGGAGTTAGACAAAATTAAAATATTGATGTACGCATGTTATAAGTATACCTCTTTAGCGGAAAAATGGAAAAAGCCTCCTTCCGGGCGCAAGCTTTTAAATCAATGTACTTGAGCAAGCTGAGGTCGATCACCGGTGCCTTGTCGCGTGCTCAACGGCGAAAGGAGACGTCGAGGCGTAATCTGAATATAATCGAAAAAATTACAAAAAACATATTTCTAAGATATATGAAGTCCGCCAATTCACGGTGGGTTCGCATTGGGACTTTGCCCAGCAGTGGGCCATATGTATATAGGTTCTTACTTTACCTATCCCCAGTAATAACGGCCTAATTAAATAAATTATAAGGTTGTTATTGCTTGCCATGGTAATGCAATGAAGTTCGTCGAAGTTGGTCGCTTTGCAACCAACGTCATCATGTCGCTTTTTGGCTTGCAGTGTGCGCGCGCATCGTAAAAATTTTGCTGTCATGTTTTTTCCAAACACGCCAAAAGAGAATACCCGGTGTTTTCGTCCGTGTACGCACTTAAATAAGCATAACACACTTACAGCGTTACTTGAATGAAGTGAACGCATTTGCTGTAACTCATAAAAAGAGTAATTCTGAAACTACTTTATTGAACTGCATAACGTTGTTTGCAAGAATGCTGTTTCTCTATTTTATTTTAAATGTGTAGAAACCGCTTCCTGACTGCTTGAACCTGCATCCATTTAAGGTAAACATATCAGATTTTACTGTACTATAATTTTAGAAATCAATACTTCCTTATTCAAACTGCTTAAGAAACGCAAATGCATATTAGTATCATACTTCAATGGGTCGCACATATTACCGTGAAAACAGATTACTAAGGTATCGTATCTTATGGTAGGTATACATATTTTTCACTATCACATCTGGCTCTTTCGCACCTCCTTATTCTCTCTGTTCATTTTTCGCTTGAGTGGTAGAGACTACTATTGTACATAGTAAAGCTATTGTGCATAAAGTTTTTAAATAAATAAATATCGATAGACGGGCGCAATGAGGAAGAGAGAAGCATCACGCTATGTTGCGGTGATACTTACAGTGTTATCGGTATCCTGCTGAAATCCAACAACATATCGAGTACATATTTATAACTATTTCATGTCCTCGGGGATCCAACACTCCTCTTCACCCGCGACTCCACTTCGATGTAGAGTGATCGGGAGAGAGACTGTACCTCTACCACTCTCACCATATCGATCGCACTCGCCTCGCTCGCATTTGAAGTGGGCAAACGAACTTTAATTGCACCGTAAGTGACCTAGTCACGGCTACTAAGCCACGACAAGACGGGAACCCGTGCGGAGCGGAGACAACACCTCTTCTAGTGTAACTTACAGTCAATGCGTTGCAGCTCGGTGCGGGTGACAGCTGTCATTCAAATTACGCCCATAAATTGTGAACTACAATGCAATAATGTAATGCATTGGTAGAAGCGTACGGATAGTTACGGTCCTAGGGACTTCTTACTACAGATGATAAATTAAATAAAACGAGTAAATTGTTTCTTTTTAAAACTGAATTTGTATAAAAAATAAGTAAGGGATTGGATGAATGAAATTCTAAGAAAGAAAGAAAGAGATTTATTTGACATAAAACAGACTGACGTACACAACAATCATTTAAAACAATTAAAATTAGACAAAACACATGAAAATAAAACTCCAATAACCATATTTTCCCTTTTCATATAGCACGTCACGGTTCATGCCAAAAAGGACATCAATTAGCAGAATGTTGCAGTGAAACTGCAATGCTGATTTTCAATAATGACCAAACATTTACCAAAAACAAAAATAAGAAAATAAAATTATAATAAAATAAAAACTCAAAAAAACAACAAAAATGGGAAAGTAAATCAGGATCGGAAATGAATCCACCAATTCATACATGTGCGTGCGTCAGGCATGTGCCTAATTTCAGTTATTGGTACGGTTTTTGTGCGAGAAACGGGAAAACAGAAAGAAAAGGTCGAAAATTAACATAAAAATCTTATAAAAAGTAACAAAAACATATGATGTCATTAAATCAAAAGAAACATGAAACGATATAAAAAAAAAGTAACTGGTAGCACGAATGGTCAAGCATACCGTCCCCGTCTATAGGTCGGGATGAAAAATATATCATATTTCCAAAATCTATGTAGATAACAGATCATTAATTTATAAAGGCTTTTTTGCTCAGATAGAAGGTGTTTTTGAAAATGATATCTAAAGGAAAATTTGGTTTTCAAAGACCTTATTGGCGGTGGTATATCATTCCAACAGCGAGTGGGTGACAGATATCAATGGATTACCAAACATTTTCATAATTGGTACTTTCTCAACGAATTTCGTATTTATCATAATGTATCAATTATAATGTTTATAATAATATTTACAATAGTTTTTTTTTCAGTTTTTGTTCTGTGAACAGATATTTTTTTAAATATTCATATCTATCATTTAGAGTGGTAGGGCCACGCAGCAGCCTCGGCTGTTGCACGAATGGGCAGGCTCATCCGGGTAAGTACCACGTCCTCACAGAAGACCGGCGCAAAATGGGAGTTATACTTTCGCGTTTCGTCTGGTGAGTGAGGTGGCCGGAGCCCAATATTCAAAAAGTTGTCAACACATCTGCAACCCTCGGGTGTAGCAGATGTCCATGGGCGGCGGTATTCACTTAACATCAGGTGAACCGTCTGCTCGCTTGTCAACTTTTCACATAAAAAAAATATCTATCAATCTGGGTCTTTAAAATTTAAGAGGTGACTTACTTATCAGTTGAACCACTAAGTAGACATCTAATGATATTAAAATCCAGGAATGTTTAGTTTTTCCTATTTATTCACGATATTATCAAAATATTAACCAATTCTTTATTCAGAAAAAAACTAACATCATTTTGTAACGTTCGTTACCTATTGAGCCGTACAAATAAAAACTCTCTTTCGAGACATTTCAATGGAATAACTAATATAATATTATAAGTTTTGCATTTTAGAAGCAGATGCAAGTATGGAAACATATTTCAATGATACACGCGCTAGTTTATCGAACTAACGAGTGAAGTTAGAAGTTTGTTAGAACACAGTTCGTCTGCGGTAAGTAAGTCAAATAGGCTTACCGCGTTTAACAAAAAAAAAACTTTTCCTTTAGAGAGTAACATTTACACACCTTTGGGCTCGTATGTTACTTTCTTTTTAAAATTTTATCTGTTTCATAAAAAGTTTCCAGCTCAGTGTCCATTTAACGTAATTGTTTATAATGCCGCTGTGCAAACATTGCTTCTTAAAAGATCTTGACATATAGATGACGATAATATATTAGAAAATTTATTACTAAACTCGGAAAATGTACTGAGTTTTGCCTTCTAGATCTTACTACTGTACATTGGACACATATTAAGAATACTAATTAACCATCTCTTTTCTGTTAAGTGGCATCGATGGCCTCGAAGTTGTTATGGCCCTCTATATTTTGAGTAATTCTAAATAATATGTATACTTGGCTGCAAAATTATTAATTTTAAGTTTATCTTTATACATTCACTTAGGCGACCACTGATAGGAAAATAAGCATGTCCTAAACTAAAATTTATTTATTTCCCTTTTCATGTAGACTGAACATGATTGTTGTAACGTAAGTTTTTACAACGTTACTTCATTGATTTTAAAAATTTACTTGATTCATTTGAAATTATAATAACGTTACCAGAATAAAATGTAATGAAAGGTTTCTCGCCTATTTATCTCGGCCTAGATTGCTTTACACTGTACAAACGTAGATATTTTAGTATAGATGCATGCAGTATTGGATCAATGCGGGCGATCAGATAATGCAATTTATTGTGATTTACCCCCGAGCCCGGCTAAGTAAAACACTTAGCTTGAGTCGAAGCAGGTCATTAGCACAATTTATGTTAGTACGTTTGCGCGCTAACCGTCTTTAAGTGACATTGACATAATGCGATTAGTTCATTTTATAATTTTCCACCAATATAGTAAAATAAATCGACAAGACTTTAGTTTACTGCATTAAACTGTTTCTAGAAAACGACAACTTTTATTTCGAATCATAGATACCTCACATCGCTAGTCTAGGTTTCGAGATAGTAGGCCACGCTTGCTTTTTATATTGCATTACAATTTTCAAAATCTCATTCATCATCATCATCATCATTTCAGCCTGTTTGAGTCCACTGCTGAACATAGGCCTCCCCCACAGACTGCCACGAAGTACGATCCTGAGCCACCTGCATCCATCGACTTCCCGCACATTTGCACAGGTCGTCACTTCACTGCTGGCCGTATGAGGAAGCTCAAAGTCGCTCAGCGAGCTATGGAGCGGGCTATGCTCGGTATTTCTCTGCGTGATAGAGTTCGTAACGAAGACATCCGCAGTAGAACCAAGGTAACCGACATAGCTCAGAGGATTAGCAAGCTGAAGTGGCGATGGGCCGGCCATATAGCTCGTAGAACCGATAACCGTTGGGGAAGAAAGGTACTCGAGTGGCAGCCTCGTACTGGCCATCGCAGTGTAGGACGACCCCCCACTAGAAAATCTCATTATATCTCTATAAATATTTTTTAA